CAGGTCGACGTCCTCCGTAATCGGCGTCCCCTCGTCGACTACTTCGGGACTAGGCCGCTGACTTCGCCAAGTCGTCGGCCGGCCAAGGTCGGCGCCCTGAAGTCGGCGCCCTGCCAGGTTGACCCCGCCATGTCGACCACCCCACACTAGGCGCCCCACGTCGGCGCCTATCGCAGTGGCCCCCATGTAGGTCGAACTCCTCGTTGACTAGCTCGCCCACTACTACTGATCGGCTGCACTCCCCCGTATGCCTGACCACGAGGTCGGCTCTGCCCAAGCGAGGACGGGGCCAACACACAACTCCCATTGACAGGGAGCAGAGGCTGGAGCACAGAACGAAGCATATAGCTCTTCATTACTTTCTTGCTCAAGAGTTGCAGCAGCCTGGTCAGCCGCGCCTTGCTTACGTAGCCTCTCGGCCAACACAGCTGATGTTTTCACCAAGGCCCCTGTGCCTGGTGATCATCAACGTTTCTGCACTGCTCGAGGCCTTGTGCCTACTCTGCCTCACCTGCTGGTTCCTTGACTTGTCTTATACTGTGATCTATCTATATATATTTGCATGCTTGCTCTTGCTAGGTTGTGATCACTACACTGCTTGTGCTTTTATAACTGTGCATATGAATTGACCTTGTGGCCGCTTTCTTGTGCTCATAATGCGTGGTCATCTTGATATCCACCTCGAGCTCTGCTTTGCTTCGTTCTCTTGCTTGACTGGTCTTGTGACCGTTAGTTGTTCTTGTTATCCCCCACTTTGCCTATGGGGGTGTGTCAAACTATGTTTCTATATCTATAGGCTACAGTGGGTAGCATCTACTGAGTACAACATTTTTAAGTTAGACCTAGTACTTATACTCATCTCATGCTTCTCTTTCATCATTCTTGCCTGTTACTTCTGACATGCCAAGCTGCGCCAGACCTACCGTACGGTACCGTAATCCCTCATATAGTGCACCTGCTGAAATAATGCACCCATGGGTGTTATATCCGGGGTGTGTGTACTATGAAGGTATCCAGTTGGCAACACCCCCCTTTTCCTGAACTGGATACAACACCCCCTCTCGACCATTTTGTTTCTGCTCCGTGGGTGGTTTTGCACAACAAAGGCATGAAAACACTTGCAGAACCATTCAAAACAAACAAGCCGCGATAAGGACGCGTTACAATTGAAATACCAAGGAAGGATTGGGGGTGCTCACCGACCTTGCCGAATCGATCACCACATCGATGTGCCACGATGACATTTCTGCAATCGCGTGCCCACCCCAAGTCCCAAGTGACACGATCTGAAAAATGATGGGACAAAATTGCCTGATATGGACGAATTGCACAAATCAATTGCCTGACTCCGATGGGACACAATCGTTGTCACCAAGCTACTATACATTTTCGAATGTTGAGGAAAACAGGAAACCCCCCAGTTAGTGACGTCGTGGAAGTACAATACTTGCGAAACATCGACCCTGCGCAGGATCGATATTCTAAATTGTAACGCGTCCTAATTCCACTCTACACTAAGCAATATCCATCTTCTGATAGAGCCAAGTCATCCGATCATAATTATCATCCCCGTCGTGCCTACGTCATCCACCAGAGTTCCCGGCGCCACGTATCGATCCTACCGTCATCGCCCGGATATAAGACATATATGTCTTATCTCGTACACGGGCAAAAATGCTTGAGTTATCTTGTAAACGGGATGGTTTAGGGTGTCTTATAAGTCTTATAAATGGAAACTTTTTAAACTACTTAGAAATATTTTCCGTACTTCTTGAAAAAGAGTTCCTCATAATGAGTGTGGATGTTGCGAAGGTGCCACTTCGGCAACCACTTTCCGGGACGCCACGTCATGGAGAACACCTGCAGAGGCAAATTTGGTAGGTCCTGGGTCAGCGCGTGGAAGAATTCGCGCTTCGCAAGGGTAAAAATGTACGCGGTATTTCAACTTTCGCTGTATCATATTGAAGTTTCGATTATAAGACATATATGTCTTATCTCGTACACACAAATAGGTGTCTTATAATGAGGCTAGCCTGTTTATAAGAGACACAAGTATAGTAGACAACCCATGTCTACTATTCAACACTGTCTTATATCCGGGCGATGACGGTACCGTATTCCCCCGTATATAAGACCCTATGGTATTATGATAATCACCCATAAAAAGGCTGGGGGGTATATTTAAATGGTGTATTTTTTATAAGACCCGGGTCTTTTCATTTTGACATTTATAAGAATGTAGATTTGGAGCTCAAAGAAGTGATTTGTAATTGCTCCGTTTTTAGCTCCTGATGTATCACATTTTTCGAAGGGCTAACATTCGCCCTCACACATTCGCCCTCACACATTCGCCCTCGGGTCGGGTCACAGCAGGGAATTGTACTGTCAGGACAGGGATTCGCCCTGTCAGGAAAGAGATTCGCCTTGTCAGGGTAGAGATTCGCCCTGTCAGGGTAGAGATTCGCCTTGTCAGGGCACAGATTTCGCCATGTCACTGTCCGAAATCGCGCTATTATATGTTTCAGATTCAGAAAAAAACTGGAAACACGTTTCTGATGGATCAGATGAAACAAAAAGAAAAAGAACATTTCTGATCGATCAGATAAAATATAAACACAAATTCTGAAAAAAAATCAGATTTGCACAAAAAAACAACATGGAATATGACCATTTTCACTTGCGTTTTCTTAAATTCCGCACTTGTCTAGGATGTGGGGGGGGTCTTATAATGTTAGGAGCCATTTAGGGGGGTACAACTTGTCAGAAGAACTAGGCAAGAATGATTGAAAGGAGAGGGGTTGAACTAGCAGGCAGTTGAGTACAAATAGCAAACCCTAGATTGGGCTGTACTCGCTATAGAGTACCCCACTGCAGGCTAGACAATAATAGCATTCTGACACACCCCCATAGCCAAAGTGGGGTGTAATCAGCAGAGCAAGCAAAGCAGTACAAGCTCAGGGTGGATCACAATGTCACCACACATTCTGAGCACAAGTTCAAGAAGCAATAGTTTAAAGTTCACAGTTATGAGCAAAGCTAGAGGCAGTCACAGAGGGCAAGCGAGGAGGAGGAGGGCTGGCGAGAGGAGAGAAGATGAAAGGCGCCGACTGAAGCTGCAGACACACGGGCAACAGGAGCGGCGCGCACAGTGGCTACCGAGCGCACGAGGGCACCGGACTACGGGAGTATCTGGCTCCGCGGCTACGACGAGCACACACAGGAGCAACGGACCCACAGGCGACTGGCGAAGCAGGCTCGCTGGGCTACCGAAACGCGCGAGGGCATCCGGACTACTGGCGCTGCTGGCGTCACGACGGCTACCTCCACGCAATCTCCCCCGACCGTCCCACGCCCCTCTCACACACCCCCTGCTGACACCCTAGCTCCACTCCGACGGTACCCCCCTTAAACCCCAAACCCTAGGCTCCCACACACCACCCCCCTCAGCGGCAGCTGTAGCAGAGGGAGACGAGGGAGGAGGAGGAGCAGGGGGAGGAACTCACAACCGACACCCCCATAGCCGCCACCCCCACACTCTTCACCCCCAAACCCTAATTTAGGAGAACGGGCTGTAGGAGGGGTGAGGCGCCGGTAGAAGCACGGGGGACAGTGGAGAGGGCAGGAGCAGCGAGGAACGGGCCGCCCACGGGCCTGGTAGAGCCGCCCGAACCGCGCGCAGGCGGCCCGAGCCGCGCGCGGGCCTGGCGCTTCCCGTACGGGCCGCGCGCGTGCCTGGCGCAGCCCGTACGGGCCGCGCGCGGGCCTGGCGCAGCCCGTACGGGCCGCGCGCGGGCCTGGCGCAGCCCGTACGGGCCGCGCGCGGGCCTGGCGCAGCCCGTACGGGCCGCGCGCGGGCCTGGCGCAGCCCGTACGGGCCGCGTGCCGGGTGTACGGGCCGCGCGCAGGCCACGACGGGCGACGGGGGGCGACGCGCGGGTCCCCGTCGCCCGTCGCAGCGCCTCCCGGGGGCGACGTGCCGAGTGACGGGGCAGGAACCCGCCGCGCGCCTCGGGGCACACGGCGGGCAGAGAACCGCCGCGCGCCTCGGGGCGCACGGCGGGCAGAAAACCGCCGCGTGCCTCGGGGCGCACGGCGGGCTGAAAACCCTAGTTTCGACGCCGCGCGCCCCGTGGCGCGCGACGGACAGGGAGTAGCAGTAGCAGTAGCAGTAGCAGCGGAAGGCTTAGGTGGTGGGCCCACCCACAGGATCGACCCAGGAGGGTCGACCTGCTCTGATAGCATGTCAGAAGAACTAGGCAAGAATGATTGAAAGGAGAGGGGTTGAACTAGCAGGCAGTTGAGTACAAATAGCAAACCCTAGATTGGGCTGTACTCGCTATAGAGTACCCCACTGCAGGCTAGACAATAATAGCATTCTGACACAACTCAGATGTACTCGAATAGAGTACCCGGGTCCGTATTATAGACCCGGGGGTCTACAACTGGGGGGGGGTCCTATATACGGGGGATTACGGTATGAACCGCTACCCCTAACAGTCACGTCCGTCGAGCGCGTTACCGTAAGACGATTTTGACGGCATTTCATTTGTAAACATACATTGTAACAACCCATGAATCTCATAAAGATCGCTAAACATTACACCCGGGTGCACTAAAAATACCGTATTTCTAAGTAGTGCACCAACCCCTTTTTTCGTGAGTTTTATACTGCAACCGGGGTCTAGTATACTAGGGATTACAGTACCATACTATGCACACATTGTGCAGTGCAGTGTACTGGCACAAGCTCTTTCCGAGGTCACTGGCAGCACCATAAGTCCTACTCCCATTCCTCTGCTGACGTAATCTCGTAGTACCACTGTACCACCCCACATCACGTGCTGTCTGTCACATAAATCATGTGATGATTGTTAGATATTCCCCTAATACCGCCGCTCTGGGTGCCTCGGTGGGTGCGAGGCAAGGCCCAGAGGCCACCCAGCCACTGGGGGAACCGTGTGGGAGTCAGATGGTTCAGACGGGTCAGAGGAGTCAGAGGACTAGCAGTGTACTGGCACAAACTCATTCCCTCTCCCATTTTCTTCCACCCCATCATTCGCCCCATAGCCATGTGTCTCCTGCTCTTCTCCAGCTGCATTCTGCCCTTCTCTCCCCCCCACAGCCTCATCAGCCCTCACCCTGCCAGCAGCTCGGCGCCATGGCTTGCCTCTAACCATCTGCTCCTCCTCATCCCCATCTGCCCTGGCGTTTCCTCTCCTGTGCCTTGCCGTCTCCCCCACCTCACTCCCTCGCACCCCTCTCCTTCCCCCCTTGATCACCGCGTTCCGGCTGCTGCAGCTGCTGCTGCTCTCCTCCTCATCCAGCGGCCGCCTTCTCACTCTGGCCCCTTCTGTGTCTCTTCCATCTTCTACCGAACCACCTCCCACCGCACCACCTCCCACCGAACCACCTCCCACCGAACCACCTCCCACCGAACCACCTCCTACCAAACCACCTCCAACCGCACCAAAGCTTCCCTCACCAGCGCTCTCTGTGCTACTTCTCTGCCCTGCCCCCTTCCCTCGCCCCTCCTTACGACACCTCTCAGTCTCGCTGCTGCTGCTTGAACCTCTGCGTTGCCTCAACCCCCTCTCCAACTCGCTCCTTGCTTCTCCTTCTCCCCCTCCCCGCATCTGCACCACTGAACCCCGCTCACCAAATATCCCATCCTCATGCTGCTGCTGCTGTGGTGGTTGCATCGGTTGTGTGATATCGGAATTAAGGGATGGGAGGGAGGGCAAGGAGGAGCGAGAGGTGGATGCACGAGAGGGAGGCGAGGAAGGGGAGGAGGAAGGACGAGAGGAGGAAATATGAGACGAGGAAGCATGCGAGGAAGAAGCGTGGGAGGAGGAGGCATGAGAGGAGGAGGCATGAGAGGAGGAGGCATGAGAGGAGGAGGCATGAGGGGAGGAGGCATGGGAGGAGGAAGCATGGGAGGAGGAAGCATGGGAGGAGGAAGCATGAGAGGTGGAAGTGCGAGGGGAGGAGGCATGGGATGAGGAAGCATGGGAGGAGGAAGCATGGGAGGAGGAAGCATGAGAGGTGGAAGTGCGAGGGGAGGAGGCATGGGATGAGGAAGCATGAGAGGCAGAAGAGCGGGAGGACGCCGAGGAGCGAGAGGCTCGAGAAAGAGAGGGTGTGAGGCGAGGAGAGGAGAGGGTGGGATGGCAAACGGGACGGTGGGAACTTGGGGGCTGAGGAGCGGGAAGTGGAGGGGGGAGAGGCGAGGACGGGCGTGCGTGAGCAGTGGAGGAAGGAGGGAAGGAGTGCTGCTTCCGAAGGGAGGGGCGAGAGGGGGAGGTTGGGGATGAGGTATAGGGCTGTCTTGGAGAAGCAAGACTCGAGTTGGAAGGATGCAGGGGGGAGGAGGAGGGCAGTGGCAGGGAGGGATGGCTTGGGGAGGGATGGCTTGGGGAGGGATGGCTTGGGGAGGGATGGCTTGGGGAGGGATGGCTTGGGGAGGGATGGCTTGGGGAGGGATGGCTTGGGGAGGACACCGAGAGCGCTCGACGCAAGTGGGAGGGAGGTGGCGGGTTGGCGGGTGGTGGGGAGCGGCTTTTTGGACGAGAGGCAGGAGACAATGGGTGGGGGGGGGCGAGGGAAGAAGAGCCACTGAGCTGCTTGTGACTGTGTGAGGATGCACTAGTATGGAGGTTAGCGAGTGAGGTGTTAGAGTGTGCCGTGACGGGGATGCTTCTTTGAAAGGCCAACACGGGACTGGGGGAAGACAATTCATTACAGTTCGGAGGTGAAACTGATGCATTTAAAGATGAAACGGATGGAACAGGAGGTGCAACGAGGCTATGAGGGTATGAGAGGCATCTTGGTGGGAATGACCCCCTACCCTCAATCAGTGCACGGGATCTATGAGGAGATGTAACGCCACTGTGAGATGAAACGCCTTTTGGAGAAGTAATGTGGTCACGGAACGATGAAATCCGCGACGAGCCTCCATTGGCAAGAGTGTGAGGAGGGGAGGAGCGGCGGGAATATCCCTGAGAGGGGGGCATGAGGAGAGGAATTGCAGTCGCCTCCGAAGCGCCCTCTCCCTGTCTGGTAGCAGGCAGGATTGCAGCGCCCTGCATGGCCGGCAATGCAGCGTGGCTCATAGCACCAGGTGAGGCGGGTGCAGGCGGCAGGGAGGATGAGGCAGGCGGAGGCAGATGAGCACGAGGAGAAGGAGCGGCAGGTACGGCCGAGGGAGAGTGCGATCTCGGGGAATGAGGAGAGGTACCATGAGAGGAGGGTGAATGAGGGGGAGCGGCAGAAGCAGGGGAGCCAAAAGAAGCTTGAGAGGAAGCTCTGTGTTGAGAGGGGCTATCTGGTGAAGGTGGCATCTGGCTGAGCGTATTGACTTGCACGGAGTGCCTGGCAGGGGAACCCAAAGGGGAGGTTCTATCTGGTGAAGGTGGCTTCTTGGCAGCAGAGGGAGCTGCTGCGTGAGAGGAAGGACACGGGACAGGTGTTCCTCTGGTAGGCGAGGCTGCTGTAGCAAGGGCTGGGCACGGGAGAGGTGTGGCGAGGGCAGGGGCAGGGACAGGTGCAACAAGGGTACTGCTGCTGGCGGCTGGGGTGTGCTGCTGTTTCTGACCCGCTTCACCAGCCTCCTTGGAAGGAGACGGCACTCTCACGAGCGCCCTGCTGCTGCCGCCCAGGGCGAAGGGGTGCTTGCGGGGAGGTAGAGATGGTGGAGGGACGCTTTGAGAGGATGGGGGGTGCTGAGAGGATGGGGGGTGCTGAGAGGGTAGGGGGGCGAGCTGAGAGGGTAGGGGGGCGAGCTGAGAGGGTAGGGGGGCGAGCTGAGAGGGTAGGGGGGCGAGCTGAGAGGCAGGGCAGTCTGAAGTGGTGGGCGAGTGGGGGGAGAAGACGGAGGAGGGAAGTTGGGGGGAGGAGAGGGACGAGGAGGTTGGCTGGGGGGAGGAGTGGGAGGAGGAAGGGGTGAGACTGTTGAGGAGGGTGGAGGGGTGGCGGCGGGAGGGAGGGAGGATGGGGGGAGGGCGGCGGGAGGAAGGGCGAGGAGGGAGGTGGGAGAGAGAGGCGTCAGCAGAGGGACTAGAGGAGGGGTGAGAGAGGTTGGAGGAAGGCAGAGGAGAGGCGAAGGATATGAGTGAGGAGGTAGAGGGAGTGTGTGAGTGAGAGGGAGTGAGGATGTGGGATGACTGGGAAGAAATGAAGGAGTGCAGAAGGGAGGAGGAATGGGAGGGGATGGAGGAACGTGGGGGCCCAGCGGCAGCGGTGGGAGCTTGAAAGGAGAGGCGGCGACGAGTGGAGTGGGAGGCGGAGGGGGAGGGCAGGGAAGGAGAGGGAGAAGGGAGAGAGGAGGAGGCAGGGGAGTTGTGGAGGCGGGGAGAGGAAGCAGCGGCGGCAGAGGAGTGAGGTCGGGCAGAAGGGGCGATGCAGGAGGGGCCGGGCATGAGCAGAGAGGGTTTGGGTGCGGAGGGGCGGGCGGGATGGAGAGGATTGGGTGCTGGGAGCGGGAGGAGGCGAGTGGTGGGAGCAGGGGTGGTGGCGCCGCCGCTGCTGCTGCTGCTGCTCCTGCTGCTGCGGCTGCTGCTGCTGGCCCCCCGTTGACTCACCACTGCACCACCACCTGCATCGCCCTCCCCTGCCCGCCTGCCTCTGCTGCTGGCCTCCCCATTGTCGCCTACACCAACCATGCTCCTCACCTGCTCAACTGCCTCTGGAGCCTCACAATGCAACTGCTCCATTTGCTCACTCTGCTCCCTCTGCTGCTCATGCGTCTCACTCGGTTGCCCAGCAGTTGCCTGTGGCCTCCCTTCCACCTGCTCCTCCCCTGCTGCACCCACCGCTGCCGTCCCCCCTGCCACTGCTTCGCTAGCAGCTGCTTTTTCCTCGCCCTCTGCCTCTCCCTCACCCTCCCCCTCGTTCTGTGCCCCCCATCCGCCCTTCCTCCTCCTCATCTCCGCCACCACTGCTGCTGCCACTGCCTTCTTTCCCCCCTTCCTCCCCTTCTCTCCCTTGGCCCCACTCCCCTCCACTGCTCCACTCGCCTCTTCTCCACCCACTTCCCCTTGCTTCTCTGCCAAACCTGCTTTGTCTTTGCCTGTTCCCTTAACCCCTTTTGTCCCCTTCGCCTTCCCACCACCTGAAGCCGGCACACTGGGCGGCACACACTGATTCTCAGGTGAACGGCCAGGTGGGGGTTGGGCAAGGAGCAAACTGTCAGGTGCTGCACCGCTGCTCTGCTCCTGGTGGTGCACCTTAGAGCCATGCATCTTAGAGCCGTGCTCCCGTGCCTGCTCTGCCATCCATGCGTCACCTCCACCAGCCGAGCTTTCGGAGCGCCGCCGCACAGCCCCAGCCTTCCGTGGTTCCTCGAGCAGCTCAAAGCCAGGCGGTGCATGTGCAAGAAACGCACGAGCGCGGGCATGGGTTGTAGCGCGGCCAGTACTGGAAGAACCTGCAGCAGCAGAAGGAGCAGCAGGAGCAGCAGCACCGTGGGTGCGGTGGGCAGAGGAGAGTGGCGGCAGCACACATGCAGGCTGAAACCTCTCCGCCCCGCCCCCGCCCCCTCCCCCTCCTCCGCCTCCGCCTCCTCCTCCCCCAACACGCCCTGCCCGCCCTGCCAGCGCCCTCCTCCACCGCCACAGCTCACTGCTCTCCTCTTGCTCCCCCTGCTGCCCCCCCTTCTCACCCCCTCCCCTCTCATCCCCACCCTTCTCACCTCCACCCCTTTCATCTCCACCCTTCTCCTCCCCAACCTGTCTCCCTTCGTGCCGCTTCCCATGTCCACTCCCTCCCCTCCTCCCACCAATCCCCACTTCCCCCCTTCCTCCCTCTCCCCATCCCGCTTCCCCTCCCCCTGCTGCCTCCCCCACTGCCCTCCCTTCCGCATCAACAGCAGCGCGGGCAAGAGCAAGAGCCCTCTCCCACTCGCTAATCCTCTCCCGCACGGCAGTCCCATCCCCAAACACATGCACGCCCTCCCTTGCACCCCACCTCCTGCTCCCCCCTTCGCTCCTACTCTCCTCGCTCTCCTGCAACCACCGCTGCCATCGCTCGCCCCACTCCCCGCCCTGCATCTCCCTCACTCGCTGCATCCACGCCAGCTCCCTCCCCAACGCCTCCCTCATGGCCGCCTCCCTCCCTGCTGCTTTTGCACCTCCTCTCGCTGCTCGCCCCTCCGCCCCTCCTCCAGACAGCCTCACGGCGCTGCCTGTGCCGCCACCACTACCACCACTCACGCCCGTCTCGCCAACCCTCCCCTTCCCCTTCCCCCCCGCTGCCTCCCTGCCGCTCCTCTCAGACACGCCCTGCCCGGATGCCACCTCCCTGTGGGCAGCAGTGCTGCCAGTGGCATCACCACCACCACTAACTGCTGCTGCTGCCTCACGACGATTGCGAGGCTTTGAAGCACCCGCAGCAGCGGCAGCAGCAGCAGCAGCAGCAGCGGCACCGGTGGCCGCGGCAGTGGCACGCTTGGGTTTCCCCTGTTTCTTCATCCCTCCCTCCTCCACCACCTCGATCTCCTCTATCTCTTCTATCTCCGCCACAGCCTTCCTTGCACTCTTCTTTACCTTCCCTACCTTGCTCGCCCCACTACCACCTGCCACTAACCCCGTGCCCCCACCCGCTGCCGCCACTGCACTGCTGCTCTCACCCTCGCCTGCCCTCATCCCCTCCATGCCCCGCCTTGCCTCCGCCTCTGCTCTTGCCCTGTCAGCAACCTTAGCAGCCTTGCCCTTCCTCTTGCTCACCACTTTCTTCCCTGCCTTGCCTGCTGCTGCTGTCTTGCCTGCTGCTGCTGCCTTGCCTGCTGCTGCTGCTGCTGCTGCCCCTGCTGCTGCTGTCTTGCCTGCTGCTGCTGTCTTGCCTGCTGCTGCTGTCTTGCCTGCTGCTGCTGTCTTGCCTGCTGCTGCTGCCTTGCCTGCTGCTGCTGCTGCCTGCTGCTGCTGCTGCTGCTGCCTCTGCTGCTGCTGCCTTGCCTCCTGCCACTGTTTTGCCTGTTGTTGCCTTGCCAGTTGCTGTCCTCTTGCCTCCTGCAGCCACTGCCTTGCCTGCTTCAGCTGTTGATGCATCCTTAACCGTTGTCTCTTGCTCACCATGTCTCTGCCCATCATCTGCCCGCGATTCAATCAGGCAGGTCCTATCCTCCACCCCTTGCTCCTCCACCACCGCCACATCCCCCTCCGGCCCAGCCCCCACCGCCTTGCCAGCACCACCCGTCTTCCTCTTTGTCCCAGCACCTGCCACCCCGCCAACTCCCCTCCCTCTACCCTTTGCCTTTGCTGATCCCTCTCCACCCGCCTTCTTCCCCTGGCTCACCCCCTCTGGGGTGCCCTTTACTCCCGCCCTGCCTGCTGCTGCTGTGCCCTTGCCTCGCCCTGCACCTGTCTTCTTCAAGCCTCTCTTTCCCCGCCCACTCCCCTCCTCTTGCCCCGCACTGCCAGCAGCATCAACTGCAGTGTCAGCAGCAGCGCCAGTGGCAGCACCACCAGCAACAGCGGTGGCAGCAGCACCGGCAGCAGCAGGAGCGACAGCAGCAGCACCGGCAGCAGCAGCAGCAGCAGCAGCGGGTTGCTCTGCTGCGTCTGGCGGGGGGCACAAGAACCTGGCCTGGCTCCAGTACAGCTGGGGCGGGAGAGGGGGCCGCGGAGGCGGAGAGGGGCAGAAAGGGCGCAAGAGGAGGGTCCGTGGGGCCTTGGGATGGTGCTGCAGCGTCTGCGGCAGCAGCAGCAGCAGGAGGAGGAGCAAGATCAGGAGCAGGAGCGGGGACAAGAGGTGTTGAGGCTGGTGGGGCAGGGTGCAGGGGAGGGGCGGTGTGCATGGCAGCGAGGACGAGGAGCATGCTGGCAAGCAGGGGAGACGAGGCAGCGGCAGCAGGCGCAACAGCGCACTGCATGGCGTCTGCAGCAGCGGGTGGAACAGAAAGATCCGTGGCATGGAGGAGTAAGGCCGCCGGGGTGGCCGATGGAAGAGTGGAGGGAGGAAATGGAGGTTGGGAAGTAGAGAGCTTGGGAGGAGCGTCTGAAGGGGTGGTGGACAACGAAACCTGCTTCTGCATCGTGGCCTCGCGAGCAGCTGTGGTAGGGGCAGTGGCAGGATGAGTGCTGTGACTGTGAGCATCAGCATCACCATCACCATCAACCTTGGCAACAACAGCTGCTTCAAAAGACAAATCTTCAACAGCAGCAGCAAGGCTGTCAGTGTTGGAAGCGTCACCTGGGGGCCACACAGTGGCGTGATCATCAGCGCCTACACTACTCACATCATCACTGCAACCACTGCCCTCATAGCCATCCTCATCCTCATCGTTGTCCAGCTTCTCCTCTCCACAATCAGTGCCATCGTCAGCATCACCACCATCACCACCATCACCACCATCACCACCATCACCATCAGCGTGACTATATGCATCTGCCCCCTTTGGCAGGGGCAACGCAGCTTCTGTTCCGCACTGCAAATCACATGCGAGTGTTGGTAACTCTGCTGCTTCTGCTGCTGCCTCTGCCTCTTCCTCCTCCACACACTCATCCATGCCTATCCCTGCAGTTTCCAAGTCCTCGTCCTCCTCCCCTGCTTCTGCTTCGTCTAGTTCTACCTCAACTGCTACTTCCCCTTCCCCCTCCCCCTCCGCTTCGTCGTCACCTTCCCCTTCCCCCTCAGCTTCGTCCTCTTCTCCTTCCCCCTCTGGTTCTTCCTCTCCCCCTTCCCCCTCCGCTTCACCCCCTTCCCCATCTCCCAATGCTTCGTCCCTTTTCCCCTCCTCCAATGCTCCGTCCCCCTCCCCCTCCCCCACAGCCTCATCAATATTCCTCAGCCACTCTGCCAAGCGACTGCCCGCCTCTCCTCGATGCCCATCCCCCCCACGCCCCTCCCCTGCCGCCTCGGTCAATCGCTCCACTCCCTCCACCCCTCCGTCCCCTCTTCCCCCATTCCGCCCCATCCCATCCCCACTCTTTCTCGTCCCAACCAGCAACTTTCTTCCCTCCACACCCTCGCTCCTTAACCATCCTTCCATCCGACCACCCTCCCCATCCCTCTCCCCATCCCCCTCACCATCCTCCTCCCCATCCTCTAAAGGGCACAGCTCAGAGATCGAACCCAGCCCCTCCCCCCCATCACTACCCACAGCCCACGACCGCCCTGCCCTCAGAGCAAACCCGCCCCTCCACGTGGCAGGGGAGGGTGACGAATACCCCGACCGCACTCCCACACTCTCACTCTCCCACTCCCCACTCGGATTCCTCACTCTCCCTCCCCCCGCCCCGCCCCCCACTGCCCTCCCCCCCACGCCCAGCCCAGCCGCTGCCAGCGCTCTGAGCATCAGCGCAGTGCGCGGGCTATGGACAACCGACGCCCACCCAAACGACGCACCTCCACCACCACCACCACCACCACCACTACCGCCACCACCTGCACCGCTCCGAACCGAACCCGCTCCAAACGACCTCTCCACTCCCGCTGCGCCTCCAAACCCCCCCAGTCCCCCCAACCCCCCCAAACCCCCATGCGCCCCTGAGAGCAGCGAGAAGTTAAGGGACGAATCCAAATCCGTGTCCTCCCAGTCCTCTGATTCGTCCATCACTGACGCCGACGCTGACAGCACTGACGCGCCCCCGCGGCCGCCCCCGCCCGGCCAGTGGTGCGCGAACAGCTGGCGGTGGCGGTGCTTGCGCGCAATGAGGGCTTCTAAGAGGTCCATTAGGAGCATGGCTCGCTTGAGACTGGCGGCTGGGTCACCCACCTGGTGGGTGGGGGAAGTGCGGGGAGAAAAAGCGATGGGCAAGGGGGAGACTGGCCGCAGGGTCAACAACCTGATGTTGGGGGGGGAGAAGAGTGGGGAGGGGGGCGGGCAGGGGTTGGGCAGGGGGAGGGGACGGGAAGGGGGGGGAGCTGGCGGTGGCGGTGCTTGCGCGTGATGAAGGCCTCTAAGAGGTCCATTAGGAGCATGGGTCGCGTGAGACTGGGTGCGGGGTCGCGTGAGACTGGGCGCGGGGTCGCGTGAGACTGGGCGCGGGGTCGCGTGAGACTGGGCGCGGGGTCGCCCACCTGATGTTGGGGGGGAAAGGAAGGGGGAGGGAAGGGGCGGGGAGAGAGAGGGTGGGGGGGAAGGGAGGGGCCAGGGAGGGAAAGGGGTGAGGAGAGGGTGGTGAGAGGGTGCGGGCGATGAGGGCTTCTAGGAGGTCCATTAGCAGCATGGCGTGCTTGAGACTGGCGGCAGGGCGCCCACCTGATGGGGGAGAGGGCGGGAGAGCGTGGGAATGGGGTGGGAAGGGGCGGGGAAGGGGAGACAGAGAGGAGGAAGGCTTGTGTGTAGAAGAAAAGAGGTGAGAAACCCAGGGAGAAACAAACAGTAGATCCGAGTGGGAAAGAGTGTGGAGGGATCAGCAAGCAGGAAGGGAAGGCCCACCCTACCTGCACTAGATTTGGCGCGAACACCAGTGCCAGTGCCCTAGCGCCCATGTGGTTGCGGTGCTGGCACTCCACCACATCCACCAGCAGGTTGAGCAGCCAGTCCAGCAGGCAGCTGCAGGCGGGCGGCAGCACTCCCAGCACGTCCGCCATGCCACCACCGCCGCTGCCCTCCTCGCTGTGTGGGTCCGCTGCCGAGGCGAGCAGGGGGAGAGGGAGGGCGTCCAATAGACCGTCTGGGAGCTCTCGGAACCACGCCTGGGGGGTGGAGGGCGGAGGAAGAAGGAAGGGAGAGGAGGGGAGAGGAGAGTAGGTGAATGGGGGAGAAGGAAGGGAGGAGATGAGGAGGGAGAGGAGGGCGATGAAAAGAGGTGGCCCTCCCCTGCCAGCACGTCGCCCATGCCGCCGCCGCCCTCCTCCTCGCTGTGCGGGTCCGCTGCCGAGGCGAGCAGGGAGAGTGGCAGCGCGTCCAATAGACTGTCTGGGAGCTCTCGGAACCACGCCTGGGGGGTGGAGGGCGGAGGGGGGAGGAGAGGGGAGGGAAGAGGGGAAAGGAGGGGAGGAGTGGGAGGGGGGGAAGAGAGAAGAAGAGGAGACGGGGAGGGAGAAGAGGAGATAGAGAGGGAAGAGGGGAGGGCGATGAAGAGAGCAGGCAGGCGGGCAGGCATTGCATGGTGGTGGTGGTGGGTGTGATGGCAGCAGCACAGCACCTGCCACGCCCTGACTGCTGCTCTCACTCCCTGCCACTAAGCGACACACTTGCTGCTGTAACTGCACACGACACATGCCATGCCACTTTGATAAGCGCTGCCCCTCACCTTGATAAGAGCCTCCCCTCACCTTGATAAGCGCTGCTAAGCAGTGCACATCGGTGGAAGGTGGGATCTGCCCCGCATTCACAGCTGCCTTGGCGGCCTCCTCCCTGCTTGCGTCCACTCCCACCTTGAATATGCCCTCCGTCTGAAAAGGAGTGGGGCGAATTGCCAAGAGGGGGGTAGAAACAATGGAGTGAGCGAGCGACACGCGGGGAAGAGGGGGTGTGAGCGAAGCATCAATGGACCCCACTCTCTGCTGCCTTAGCTGCCTCTTCTCTGACCGTCTCGACCACTCCCACCCTGAATATGCCCTCCGTCTGATGGGTGCGGCGAGGGGGGTGGGGGTGTTTGCCAAGAGGGATGTTGAAAAGATGGAGCGACAGAGGGAGGTGAAGAGGGAGTGGGTGTGCGAGGCATGAACCCCATCCTCTGCCGCCTCCTCCCCTGCCCCCCTCTTCATCCACCCACCCCTGCCTCATTGGCGCGAGGAGGGGGGTGCGAGGAGAGAGGAGTAACAAAGCGGGGAGGTGCGGGCACGTGAGGGGGTGTGTGTGCGAGACATGTGGCTTCTTCCCCCGCTGCTGCCTGCCTCGAGAAGAACCACTTGAATTGCCTGGACGCCCCTGGCGGCTGAAGAGACACCGACATTGATGGAGGACGGGGGCAGGTGATGAAATCCATCCCATCTGTGGCGTGGCGCGATGGCAGCTGCTAATGGCAGTGACGTGCCCTCCACTCCACGCCATCCCATTCCAACCCAACCAAATGCTGCCCTCATGAATGTGCGCCTGCCAGAAAGGGAGTGCAGGTGCACCAGGCATTCAACCCCCCAATCCCTCCCACCCACCAACCTCGACCGCTCTCCCATGAAGCCCAGTCCCCACCCAACACCGTGTCCCTGCAGCTCTCTCTGCTCTGCTCTCACTCCCCCCACCCCCACGTGCAGCCCGCCCTTGCGGACGAGCAGAGCAGCCCAGCCCAGCCTCACGCGCACCTGCAGCCCGCCCTTGCGGACGAGCAGCGCCTGCAGCTGCAGCAGCACGTTGGGAATAAGGTTGCCCCAAACCGACCCACACCACACCACACCACACCACACCACACCACACCGCACCACACCACACCCATCACCCCCTCACCTGCAAGCCCCCCTTGTGGATGAGCAGCGCCTGCAGCTGCAGCAGCACGTTGGGCACGAGGTTGCCCCAAACCAACCCACACCACACCACACCACACCACACCACACCGCACCACACCACACCCATCACATCACCCCCTCACCTGCAGCCCGCCCTTGTGGATGAGCAGCGCCTGCAGCTGCAGCAGCACGTTGGGCACGAGGTTGCCATAGTCGTCGTACGAGCATGGCAGGTCCTCGGGGGCCTCGCCAAACACACCTACTGCTATCTTGCTGCCAGCGCAGAGCATTCACAATGGTGATGGGGAGGGGGGAGGGAAGAGGAGGGGGAGGGGGGAGGGGAGGAGGAGGGGGGGGGGGGGGAGGTTGCCATAGTCGTCGTATGAACACGGCAGGTCCTCCGGGGCCTCTCCAAACACGCCCACTGCTATCATGCTGCCAGCGCAGAGGGAGAGAGGAGGGAGAGGAGAGGGGACACGGGGGTGGCATATGGGATGGGATGCTGGCACAGAGGGGGCTATCTTGATGTGCGCACAGGGCATTCACAACGGTGGGAGAGGAAGAGGAGGGCGAGGAGAAGGGGGGAAGCGGAAGGGGGAGTGTATGGGATGTTGACACATGAGGGGCCTTCCCAAACACGCCCTGCAAAATCTTGCTCCCCGCGAGATCTTGCCCCCCCCCCCCCCCGCCGCGAAACACTGAACAGAGACAGGGACCGTGTTTGTTTGGAAGGGTGTTTGGTTTGGAACAGTGTTTGGAACTGGGGGGGTAGAGTTTGTCGGGAAGAGGAGCGGGAAGGGAAGGAGTGGTAAGGTGTGGTAGGCGATGTTGGTGGTACAGTGGGGAAGAGAAGAGGATGTGAGGGAAGCAGCAGGAAGGTGGACAGCAAGAGGTGGGAAATGAATGAAGTGGAGGGCGGGAGAGTGAAGGAAGGAACCCATGTGGGTGGACTATAGGCAGACGGCAGCGCCACGCACCTTGTAGCTCACTATGGGTAGCGCCAGCGTCACCAGCTGCCCTTGCACTCCCCCCATCCCCATGCCCATGCCCATGCCCATGCCCATGCCGATGGCCCCTAGGCCGCCATTTAGAGGGTCCAACGTGGCAGGCTCGTGTGGATATGCCACCTGGCGCACGTCCATTGGCGGGCCAATCCGCAGGGACGGGTGACGGGAGCTTCCCCCCGTGCCACCATGCCTCCCCTTCCCCTTTCCCCCCGCGCCCCCCCTCCTTCCGCGCCCCCTGGGGTGCCCAGCGTCGCCCCCCTCCCCCTCATCGTCGCTGCTGGAGGCGAATCCGCACGCCACCCGCGGAGCAATGCACTGGCGCAGGCGGCCTGGGGGGGAGGGGGAGGGGGAGGACAAAGGGGGGAGGGAGGGGGAGAGGAAGGCGGAAAGGGGGAAGGGGGGGGGGGGCGGGGGGGGGGTGGGGGGAAGAGGAAGGGGGGTGAGGAGGCGGAGTACCACCGGTGGCGGCGGACACTCAATAACGCGCACTGGCGCACGCCTGGCGGAAGGAAAGAGGGAGGTGAGCGGGAAGGGGGAACTGAGAGGGGAGGGGAGCCGGGAAGGTGCGGGCATGGCAGGCAGCTTATAACGCACTGGCGCATGCTGAGGGGGGAGAGGGGCGCGGAGTGAAGGGAGGGGGGGAAGGGGGTGGGTTCGGGGGGGGAAGGGGGAGGGAGAGAAGGGAGGGAGGCGAGGAAGGGGATGACGCCTTTCCGAGCGGCTTTAAGCGCGCAGGCCCTGGGCGCATGGGGAAGCATGGACGTGGCGGGGAGCGCGCGACGAGGTATGGGTGAGAGGGTTGAGAGGGAGGTGAGGGGGAGAGGTGGGGGGCAAGGGGAAGAGTGGGGGGAACAAGGGGCCGCGCATGAGGAACCTCGAGATGCACTGGCGCAGGCTTGCGGGGGACATGCGCGCGAGGGGAGGGCCGCGGGGGCGCAGGCTTCGACGGGAGAGAAGGCGGAAAGAGGGAGGTGCGGGAGGGCGAGTGGGGGGAGCGGGGAGGACTTAAGCGCCGCAATCCCTGTAGAACGAGGGGCAGACTCGAGTTGGCGCAAAGAGTTCCCCGCAGGCAGCACCGCCGCGGCACGCACTCCGGAGCACGCCGCGGGTGGTTTCCGCCTTCGCGGAACAGCTTTGCGCCCGCGCCGCGCGATCATGCAGCGACACAAGGTTTCGACAGAGAGTGGGAGGGGCGCTAGGAGAGCGATGAAGAGCGGTTCTATGCGGTTTCGTGGCTATGATCTCTGCTACACGGCGGGCAGAACGGTGGAGAGCGGTGGAGCGGGACTGACCTGACATGGTGCAAGCGAGTGCGGTCGCGACTACATGCTCCCTGGTATAAGCCTGCTACTCTCTCCGTTGCGCCGCGCCGCTGCTCGTTCAGACCCCGGTGCTCGTCTCGTCTCTCCTGTTCTCGCCTCGACGCGACACGAGACTCTACGAAGCATTTCGCGGATCACAGCAAGCACCTGCGAGGTAGTTAAATTGCCGCGACTCGTGTCACTGACACGCGTCACTCGCGAGAGGAGAAACGCGCGGGAAACGTGGAATGGCAGCGAAAGTGATACGCATCGCTGGCGCAATATGCTAGAGCGCGGCGCGAGGACTGTTTGCGCGGTGCGTGTGGTATGTACACTAGCGAGTATGCTGAGGCTGGCACTGGGTGGGTGCATCTGCACTGCACTGTACGTTGTGTGCGTGGCATGTGCGGACAAGCCGCGTAAGTGCAACGGGTAGCGTTTGTAGGACACGCGGGAACGTGGGGTTGGGAGGGGACGGGGCGGTTGGGCCAGCTACAGTTCCGCAAAGATTGTATTAATTAATAGAACTTCTATGTTGCACAAGGATAAATAAAAAAGGACTAATTTAATTATTATAAGTTTCCATGTCACCCATAAAAAGCGAAGCGTATTATAAATTACTTCAAGCACCTACTCAACTAGCTTTCGCAAAAGTCGGGGGAAGCTATTACGTTACCCAAACGTTAAGAGACTAACACGGTGAATGACCAAATCAAATGTTACGAGAGCACTCCCTGGCAACATATACATCATTACCATGTGACTGCTCTCTTTATCTTGTCTCCTTCCTGGCGACTGTCCCCTCGCCGCCATCCCAAAACAGCAGCTGAGCAATGAAACTCCTCGACAAATTCCCCCGCCTCATGGTACGTCAGCTTCTCAACCCCAACACCTAGCTATCACTCTCCTTGATCCCCTCCTCCCCACCAGCACCCCCGTCCCCTCCACCACCACCACCACCACCACCACCACCACCACCACCACCACCACCACCACCACCACCACCACCACCACCACCACCACCACCACCACCACCAGCACCAGCACCGGCGTTCTCAGCGACGAACTCCCCGACGCGCTTGGCCACCTCCTCGTCATACGCGGGCCCCTCCAGCCCAAAGTGCCCCACGCCCTCCACAATGCTCACCTTCGCCACGCCCACCGCCTTGCCCGCACGCGCCTCCAGCTGCTTGATGCTCGTGAACTCATCTTTAGCGCCCATGATGAACAGCTTGGGGCCCGGCCACGCCAGCACGGTGGCAAAGTGCGAGCCGAAGAGCATCGAGGAGAGGAGGCCGAATGTGTACCCCACGCCCACGTACAGGTCGACCTGCGGGCAGTGCGGCAGGGCTGAGCCCGCTATGGGCGCCCCTGCACGTTGGAAGAGGGGGGGTGAGGGGGACAGGATGGTGGGAGAGGAGGAGGGGAGAATGGGAGAGAGGGTGGGACGAAACAAAGGGGGTGTGAGGGAGAAAGGAAGCTGACGCCCACGTACAGGTTGACCAGCGGGCAGCGAAGCACGGCTGAGCCAGCAGCGAGCGCTCCTGCATGAGGGGAGAACGGGGGGGGGGGGGGGGGGGGGGGGAAGAGAAGGGATGCGCTCCTATATCACTTTGCATGCTAGCTTGTCTCATCAATCCAGGGAATTTTAGAGCAGCAGCCGCACGCGCAGCAGCCAGCAGTCACATGCGGACGATAAGAGCACCACTCCCCACCCCACCTGCGGACAACCCCAGCAGCAGCCCCTCCTCACCTGCGGACGACCCCAGCAGCAGAATGCGCTGGGCGTACTTCTCGCCCGCCCAGCGGCACACGGCCATCACGTCAGCCACCTCGGGCTCGCCCGTGAACGATGGGTGCCCCGTCGACTTGCCCGCGCCGCGCAGGTCAAACGTCACCACGCTGTGTAGAGTGTGGAATGCGGGGTGTGGGAAGGGGGGGGTGGGGGGAGAATGGCGATGAAAGAGGTAACCAGCTGGGGGTCGATCGACCTGCCCGCGCCGCGCAGGTCGAACGTCACCACGCTGTTGGGTGTGGGGAATGCGGGTGTGGGGAAGGGGGAGGAGGAGGGGGAAAAGAGGAAGGGAGGGAGGGGAGGAGAGGGGGGAGAGAGATGGCGATGAGAGAGGTAACCAGCTGGCTGGCACGTTCCGTTCTGGTCGAACGTTAAGACGCTGACTGCAGGGGCGTGGGGAAGTATGGGGAGAACGTAGTGAGGAAGAAATAAGCTGGTGGGTTCGCGGGATGGTTTGCCGGCGCCCGTCCAATCAAACGCCGCCACAATGGCGGAGGCTTCTGACGGCGGCCTGCGCCGCCGCCGCTGGATGGGGGACGCTTCTGAGGCGCCTCGAATGGCGAAGGGTTCAGGGAACGAGCGGTAGGTGGCGCGCGAAGGAAGGAGAAGGGGAGAGGAGATAAGGAAGGGGGGGAGGAGAGGAGGCGGACCTGCATTGTAACACCCCGTGCTGTAACGATGCATTAAGATTTCGCGAGGTGTCTACGTTCATCCCGCGCTAAACTCGCCTCCCTAAAACACAAACGTTTAGCTAGTCGCGCCTACTAGTCGAGCGCGGATGCCATCTGCACACGTCAGCAGTGTCAAGGGATGCCTAACGTTTCAGCGCCGCACCTCTGGAATGATTTGTGCATAACAAGTGGTTGATATATGAATGCGCTTCCTAAACCCCTGCGTACTTAAACCCGTGGAAACAAGGCGGCATTCCGCAACCCCGTGCTGCAGCGCGTCGCCGCCAGCAGCAACGCCTGCTACTGATTTAGCCTCAGGAGCCTCGAAGGCAAATGCTCGGAAACTCACTTGAACCCGCGCAGACAAAGGCATTCCGCCAGCCCCTGCGTGACGGCCTGCGAGCCGCCCATGCGCGAGTAGGGATGCACGACGACCGCGAGCAGCGCCTGCTTCTTCTGCTGCTCGTACTCTCCGCCGTCGAAGCTCGGCCGCGCCGGCCATGTCTTGACGCACAGACGCACGTTGTCCGTGCTCGCTACCTGGTGCTCCTCCTGCTTCATTCTGGAATGTGACTCTTGAGAGAATAACAACGGGTTCAATGAAGAGTATGCTCCAAGACGACAGGTACGAGTTATTTCGCAAGGTACGGTACGAGGCCGTCAGCCCCTAGCTGCTCTTGATATCATTCAGCGCGTGATGAAAGGTTTCTTTGAGCTCTACACGTGGTAGTTTGTTTTGTGAGAGCAATGAAGCTGGGGCACAGCAGATCAGAGCACAAACCAGAGCCGGATTTCTCGTTGGTTGTGATGGGAGGGAGTGAGAGGTTGCTGGATAAATCCACTGACGACAGGCGCCGCGAGCCAATCAGCGAGTTATGAAATATCTGCAGCATTTCTGAATGCTACGTTTAACTTAACGTTGATGGTTAACCTAATTGCTTAGAATATAGCATTACTATTATGAGTGCAATTGAGCGAGGGAATGAAGTGTGCGAAGCAAATAAGCGAAGGCGTTAAAGAATGTTAAAACACAAGCACCCGTCCATGGTAATGAACGAATATCATGTGCTTTTGTATGCGAACATGATATTGTGGGGCTACCGTAATCAGGCCCCACAATGTTGGAGCATGAAGGGAATTACACTTAGCATTTCCGAAGGTGCAGAACTATCGCATCTACTACTATCGAAGCAGCGCTAGCAGCAATATCGAATCAGCCCGTATCAAGGGCAGGAAGGTCAACAGTCGTAAGGGCCAACTGTCCCAACTATTGACCATCTAGACCGACGCTTGACTTACTTACCACCAAGGAATGGTGCTGATATATCCGAAGGATCGAGTAAATAAGATAAGTCAGCTTAATCTTAGGAGACAATAGAGTCTCTGTGGTGACCTTGTTGTACAATGGTTGAAAGAGAACAAGATTATTATAAGGTAAGAGTACAAGATATCAAATAGCAAATTAGCTAGCCATGTACTCTGAGGGGTACATTCCCTTATTAACTGTATTACATAACTACAGTAACCGCGACTATTCCCATTCTCGACAGTTACCATGTTGCAGCGAACAACTGTCGCGCGGTTACTGGGTGGTCAAGGGTCACGACCGTTGACTACCCTCGACGGTTGACCTTCGGGTGACCCTCGACCTTCCGCATGTGTTATATGTGTTACAATCTGAAGTGTGACTTAGCGAAGAGGATCGTTCAGGGTTGATCGCATGTAGTATCGCAGTGGAAGTAGTGAATTCAGGTCAGAGTGAATGTAAATGACTGAGATTGATTATAGCATGCATACATAGGGTTTATATAGAAATACAAAGGAATGCGAAACGACCTAGACTAGCCATGTACTCTAAGGGGTACATTCCCTTATTGCAGCGAAATTCAAACCGTGCGGCGCGGGAATCAGTTTCAAACCTGTTCCCGCTCTTTTCACTTCAAATGTTTCTGCCTGCATCGGTCTTGATCAGACGGTTGCTGTGTCGCTTCGACTCTTCTGACTCCTCGACTTCGTACTCGGTAGAGTCGGCTCCTGCAGCGTACAGGAATGCCTTCTCATAAAACTTCATATCGTAACACTCCCCTTCATTCCTGGACGCGAAGGGTGCTGACTCGCTTGACCACTCCGGTGAGGTCGGAGCAGTGCTTGAACTGCTGACGTGGCAGGCGCTTGGTGAGGAAGTCGGCTGCCATCTCGGTGGTCGGGCAGTAAGCGAGGTCAACTTTGCCCTGGTCGATTTCGTCCTTGACGAAGAAGTACCGCAGTGCGATGTGCTTCGTGCGGTTCACGAACCCAGGCTTGTTCGCGATCTTGATCGCGCTCTGGTTGTCGCAGTGCAGGCGAAAGGTGGGCGAAGTTGGGATTTTCGCCTCCTGTAACAGCTCTTGCAGGTACAGGCCTTCGCGAACTGCTGCTGTCGCGGCGATGTATTCAGCTTCGGCCGATGACAGGGCAACTAGTTCTTGCTTCTGCGAGTTCCAGGAGATGGGGCCAGTTGGCTCCAGGCGAAAAACGAAGCCGGTTCGGGACCGTCGATTTGCTGGGTCAGCGGCATGGTCAGCGTTCACATAGCCGTTGAGGTTGAAGGATGTTGTTGACAGCGTGGAGTAGGAGAGCCCGATGTCAAGTGCGGAGATGAAGTACTGCAGGGCGCGCTCCAGGTCCAGCTGGTTCTCGGCTACTGGCTTGCGGGAGTACTGTGCTAGTTGGCTGGCGATGTACGAAAGGTCGGGTCGGCATGTGACAGATGCGAACAGCAGGCAGCCCAGTTGGAGTCCGCGGGGGACACAGGCTTGTTGTCCGGTTTGTAGTTGGTGCTGGGGTTGCGGTAGGGAGTTGAGAGTGGTGCGCGTGAGATGTTGAAGCGTTCCCCCAGCTGCTCTGCGTACTTCGAGGCTAACAGATGAATTGCTTCTGGCGCGTAGGTGATGTTCAGGCCCAGAAACTGAGTGACTTTGTGGTTGATGGTGATGTCCACGCGCTTCGCCAGGTTTTCTTCAAACTGGTTAAGGAGCGTGTTGCAGGTGCCAGTGTAGAGCAGGTCGTCGACGTAGACGGTGAGGAGGATGTAGTCGCCGTTGAAGTGGAGGCGGTACATTCCCGGGTCGTGCGGCAGCTGCCTGAAGCCGATTTCGAGTAGAATTTTGTGCACGTGTTGCTGCCAGAGGCGAGGCGCCTGCTTGATCCCATAGAGGGATTTCTTCAGCTGGCAGACCCTGGGGTCTCCTTCTCCGTAGGTGTGTGGCTGCTCCACGAAGATGGTTGCATCCACCAACGCATATAGGAATGCGTTCTTCACGTCGATCTGTCGCAGTGGCAGATGCTTAGTGGCCGCAATGGCGAGTAGAATCCTGACGGAGGTGTGACGGCTGACAGGAGCGAACGTCTGATCGAAGTCGATTCCGTGGCGTTGGTCGTAACCACGTACGACCCACCGTGCCTTGAAGCGCTCGATGGTTCCGTCAGCGTTAGTCTTGAGATGAAAGACCCACTTTCCGCTTAGCACCCTCCTCCCCTTCACTGCTGCACGATCGACGAGAACCCAGGTATCACGCGACTCCAAGGCTTTTAGTTCAGCGTCCATAGCTGCACGCCACTCCTTGGCGTGAGGGCCGGTGAGGGCCTGGCGTGGGTTCTTCGGTTCGACGGCGCGAGCCATGGCGGAGACGGAGGTGTGGAGGCCAAGAAGTTGCAGGCCGGACACGTTCGTGGTATCCGCGGTGTCGGTGATGGGGACTTCCACCACGTCATCGTCATCGCACTCGTGACTAGGTGAGGATGTGCTTGGTGCGGCGTCGTGGCGGGATGGTCCGGGCGCAGGGGTGTCGTCGCCGTCGTCATCGTCATCGTCGGTGCGAGGGCGAGGCGGGACGCCGGGATGATCGTCGGTGTCGTCGCGATCGAAGGCTGCTGCTGCTGCTTCATCCTCAGGAGACGCGAAGCTGCGACCGCTGTTGACGTAGCCGCGAGCCTGGTTGCGCGTTTCGTCCTCGATCCACAGCTTCAAGGTGAGTCGTTCGTAGAAGAGAACATCACGCGCGGGAACGATCTCCTTGCTGTCGATGTCGAGTATTAGCCAGCCTTTGTGCTCATTGCTGAGCCCCAGATGAACCCCCCATCGCGCACGCTGAGCAAACTTCCCGATGTTTGCTGAAGTTGGCTGGTACTGCACCATGCACCCCCAAACCCTCAGCATGAAGGTCCATTTCATGTGCGGGGAAAGGTTGTCCCTGTTGGCCGTGGTGGAGAGGAGGTTGTACAGGCGCACCGCGTGGTTCATGGCGTAAGGCCAAAACTTCTTGGGGAGGCCGGACTGGTTCATGAGGGCGCGCACTTTTGTCATGAGGGTGCGATTCACCCTCTCTGCGACTCCTTGCTGCTGATGAGCGTAGGGGAGAGAAATTTCATGCTTGATCCCTTTCTCGGTGAGGATGCTCTCCAGCTCGTAGCTGCGGAACTCTTTGGCACCATCACTCTGCCAGATTTTCAGCTGACTGTCGTTGTGCATGTGCGAGCCAGAAGCGGAAGACCTCTGAAGCCTTGGACCGTGCGTCAACGTTGGCGACCCAAACGTGGCGTGAGTAGGCGTCGATGAAGGTCAGCGTGTATTTTTCGCCGTTGAGGCCGTTGCAGGTGAGCACAATGTAGTCGCTGTACACCTTCTGCAGCTTCTTGTAGCGGTTGGTGCTTGGCTCCAGCGAGGGGTATGCGTTGTGAGTAAGGGCTGCAGTGGGGCAGACGGTGCAGGTGAGTGGGTGCGAGGTGTTGTGGGGTTCGGTGCCGTCGGGGCGCAGAAGTGCTCCTGGGGGGAAGACCTTGGCGCGGAGGCAGTTGGCGAGGGTCTGGCGTGAGGGATGCCCCAGTCGCTGGTGCCAGAGGTTGTCTTCTGCGCGAATGCCGCTGCTGCGCATGTAGCGTGCGCGATGCTCCGCTGCTTCCTCCTCTGTCTCTTGCGGGATTTGGAGTGGTGGTTCCTCCTCCTCTCCTGGTTCTGCTTCGTCCTCTGCTCCTTCTGCTTCTTCTTTTGCAGTTGTCTCCCCTTCTGCAGGTGCGGTCGTGAGGTAGAGCGCCAGAAATTCGCGGTCGGGGATGATGGTGAGCGGCGTTGTTGTGCCTTCGATGAAGCGGGCGAATGGATCTGGACGGGAGATTGGACCAAGGGAGTCTCGGACTGGTGTTGGGGGTACGTTCCCCTCCTCAAGCTCCGTCCAGGTACTGTCCCAGCGCCAGGGTGAGCGGGGAGGTGAGCGTGTTGGTGGAGGTCTCCCGAGGGGTATGGCAACGCGGGGTGATTCCTCTCCGCGTTCGGCTCGCATCTCCCGTTCTGCTTCCTCCAACTCTTTTTGTGTCAGGTCCGTCTCGGCCGTTTCCTCCGTGCCCCAACCTCCAGTGGTAACCATACCGCTGCCACTGGCTCCCCAAGTCCCGGTGGCTGATGCCCAGGTAGCGCCGGCTTCGGGCTCGTAGTCATCGTCTCCCCATCCGCCTCGTCGTGCAGACTCTTCACTCCAGCTTGACGCAATGCGCTCCTCGTACAGCTTTTGTTTCTTTTCTGCCTTGGCCTTGTCTCGTTTCTCCTTGACGCTCAACTCGTTCGGTTCGTCAGGGTCCTTCCAGGCTGGGTCAATTTCGCGGCGGTAGACTTCGCGGGTGTACGGGCGCGGGCGACCTTCTTCGTCCTTTGTGCCAGTGTTGGCTTCGAGCATGAAGCGGAGGGTGTCGGAGCGCGGCGTTGGGCGTGGCACAGGCTGTTGACCGAACTGTTTATTTTCTTCTCCGAAGATACGATGAGTTGCTACAGCGAGCTCCTCTTCGGTCATGCCAGTTGGTTCCTCCTCGGCACTTTCTGCCTCCTCGATCGCCGCGTACTCTCTCTCGACTTGTTCCGTGT